GCATTTTACTTCAGTGAAAGACCTCTTTCTTCCAAATAGTGGACAGAACCTGTTCCTTGATTTTGTTGGTGTGTCCCAAGGCGGCCGTTGACCCAGATTGAATTTTCAGATCATTGTTATCTCAGCTGTGACTTGAGAAATTTGGCCCCTAACTCCATTATTGTCTCCCTCATCCTCAGGGATCCCAACAGATGCAGATGTTATTCTCATTAAGAATGTGATTCCAGGTTGGTCATTTTTGCTGTGCTTGTTTAATCTGGTCGAGGCTGCATCTCTGCTTCTGCAACACACTGCTCCTCTTCCTTGGCTCTTTGTTGTAGTTTTCAAGTCCTCCCTAATGTCTTCAAGGGCCTTTTTATCTCATCTCTAAATTCACTCAGCTCTTTCTTCACATCCTATCTCAGGATAGAGCAATAAGAAGTCAACCGCCTTGATCTCTGCCACCATACTAGTAAGCCAACCTCAGTTTCTAGTCCATCTAGGTGAGCATCTTCATCACACTTCTTGCTTTTTTCAGATCTTGTTGTCACACTACCTTTAGCTTTTTTGAATTTATCCTATTCCATGTTCTTGTCAGCTTGTGAAAGACTATATTAAAAAGAATGAATACATTTCCATTTTGATTTTATTCTAGACACTTTCTGTGTCAGTGCTGTGACAGTGTGGTCACTATGACTGTTGTACTGTCACTGTGTCACACTGTGACAAAGTCCAAACCACTGAAGGCAGGCAAACACATCCTGCTATTAGGATTAATCTCCACTAAGAACAGAGGGTCTGCTTTGTTCACTACAGGGATTCAACAAAAGACTAACCCCCACCAACACCAAACTCCCAGTCCAAAACTTGCACTGCACCAGTTGCCAGCTGCAGCAGCAATAAGTAATTCAAGACATGTTCAGCCTCCGTATGTGAACACACCTCTGCAGTGACCGGCTTGCAATGGACAGGAACAGTCACATCAAGACTGAGGGCTCCACTCAGTTGTAAGTTCCTTGCATACCAGGTGTTGGCCATTTACTCTTACTGATGTAAATGGGATGAACGTGTAATGGTATACAGTTTAACAACATCACAAACCAAGACCTCAGAAACAACCAGCTGAATTAAAAATCCTCTAAGATAGTTCGACACTGAACATCATAACCTCTGCGGTCACCAGACTGCTGCAGTAGTTTTAGCTTTATGTACCTAATTAACTGGCAACCGAGTGCATGTCACCATGCTAAACAGTAGAACAAAATAACACTACCTTATCATTTGCTTTTTCAGCCCAACAGCAATGTCCTTTGTTCCATCTTGGGTGGTCCCTAACAGAGGCCTAAAAGTGACTTCTCAGCACTTAACTGAAGCCTTTATTTGGTGACTGTCTTCAATAGGACATAAAATATTTAACACAAAATCAGACAGCGTCCAGCAGAGCTGGTAGTGCTAAAGCACCAAAGGCTCATCCTGACACCACACACAGAAAGCACTCATGCCGAGGAGAAGCACTGAGTTTTAATCCTGGGCAACCCTGCAGGATGATGCAGAAGACAACCTGTTATGTAACACTCAGAGTACTGCTGCAGCAGAAATGTCCATTACACACCAGCACATTACTGCATGGACACTGTGGACACACACAATGCCACAGGCAGTAGAATGGTCATGACAGTGCAATGTCATTCATTCAGCAGAGCACTATCTGTGCTAGGTCTAAACTGCCACACACACCCACACACATAGAGCTGCATTTATACATACAATACCTATGCTGGCCAAAGAAGCAGCGTACACCTGAATAAACAACTAGTCTATGTGCAGGTACACAGACATGCACAGCCAAAGGACACAACACATCATTCCCCTGGAAGATCTGTTACTGAGTGCGGTGCTCACATAAATATCAACATAAGTACATATTCAAAAGGAAGAACATGTAGAAATAGGCCTAGCGCAGCTTTGCTGTAGGGTTAAAACCTTTTTCTTACCTAAACAGTGACTAGACCAAACAGGCTACTAGGTGAAAATTAAAGAATACATTTACTATAAAAATATGAAAAAGTGTCATCATGGTCCCAGGCTAGAAGACTGTCCTCAAAATGTGGCCATTTTCAGCCGGTGGTCACGTCAAACCTGCGCTTCCCTGCACAACAGTTAATTACGCTAATTGTTGGACTTAAGATTAGTAATGCAATTATTACAAGAAAGACGTAGCTGCTTCCTACAATGAAAGCTTGATTTCTACATTTGTTTTTTCACGTTACCACACAACTATAAGCTGCACTGCCGCGAATTGCATTCCGATTTTGGAAAAAGGGTTTGGGGGCTTCTAAATGAAGTTTGTTTTCGGGAGCCCGACCGAGACAACACTGTCGCATCTTAAATGGAGTTCGGTGTTACCCATCTGGACAAACCTCATGTTTCAGACAGGTTACCTACCTCTCGCTAAGAAATCCCACGGTGTCACTCATGCACAAAATTAAATAATAATCTATGTTAAACTCCCATTTACCGTGGTGGTAGCGCTGTCCTGACCAACCTGCTGCCGGCTGCTTACACCTGGACACGGCCCGACCAGCACGTAGCGCTACGTCACGTTTCTATAACAGGGTCTCCGAATCCCACCAAATCCTGCTTTTTGGTCGAAAGTGCAATGGCCCGGCCAGACTACTCCGTTTTAGACCATCTCTGGTCGCTGCAGTCCTCGGGTCCAATCGGTTGCAGCAAGAAGGAGCCCAGACTCACGAACACATGCTGGTCTTACTATAGTTGTGAAGACAGTATATGTTTTCCTTGGCCCCTGAGCCTAATCCTAATCCTAAACCTAATTTCTAACCTGAACCAAGTCTAATTAATCAGGACGCTGACGTTGTTTAATGTTGTCACTGAGCCATATATTTGATTTTATACAGCTAGCCAATTTATTATTTATGCCTATTTGTTATTATTGCTTGGTCTTATTTATATGGCACATTAACAACCCGTAGTACCGATTATCGTTTCCAAACTTTTTTTAACTCCCAAGAACACACACACACACACACCTTTTATTATTATTATTATTATTTATTTTACTGTAGACTGTGTAGGTAAAATATCACAGACCACATCACCTGTGAAACCAGTGAACATTCATTTCTAACACTCCCATCTAGTGGCCAAACGAGGAATGGCAAGTGGAGATTTTGCATTACATGTAATTCCAGACTCAAAGGTTCATTCAACCAGCGATGTGCCTCGTTTGTCATATTGTATCAGTCTGACAAAACCGTGTAAAATAGTCACTTTAAATACATTTAACTGTAAAATTACCCGAGTAACTGTTACGTAAGCAAACACAACAAGAACAATCAAATAACACATTTGAAAATCCAGTGAGTTTGCATGAACTCTGACGTCTGTCAGTGTGATCAGTTACAAGTCTCCCTTCCATTATCCTGTTTTCTTAAGCCAAGTGTTGAGACATGACAGAGTTTCATAATCACCTTAACAGTCTGTACACATTTGTTACACTGTAATGTGACCTCCACTTGCTGGATCACTGTCCAACACACTGTTGACAAGATGATGTGACCTGGTACTGAGTCCTGACCATAGTAATAGGCTAAATCTGGTTTAGCAGCACACTGATAAAGTGCTTTCTTGCAAAATCAAATTTAAGGTTAAGTTAAAATGTATAAACAGTAGCAAACATAACTCCACACATACTCACACAGATCAAAATCTTTTGATGTGCATATGTGTGTGTGTGTGTGTGTGTGTGTGTGTGTGTATATATAACTTAATCTAATTTTTTCTTCTTATGATTTCAAGATTTGCGAGTTTTGGCAAAGGCAAAGAAAAACACATTACTAATACAGTGAGGAGATTCTTTGGCAGAGCTTGATATTTGCTTGGAACAAAATATAAAATGGGCTTATCTGATATTTAATGACGTGAAAAATTCACATCTGAGGCACGATGTCTCCAGGTCGGTATGGGTCAAATTCTTTTGACTGGTATTGTATAATGTTATTCTGATAAACAAAACGGTACCAAATGCCATAATCAACGACAAAAACAGAGACTCCATTTTATTTCACTGAGAACACACACAAAAAATTATTCTGGTAGTGCTACTTATGAGCTGATGGCTAACTAGGTTACATTGAGATACAAAAAGATTAGTGAGAGTGCAATGTACTAACAGCCCTTTTTAGGATGAAGAAATTGACAGAATGTGGGAGAACTGAGGCACTTGCAGCAGAATAGTACATTACAGACTCTATATACAGTACACTATATAAGCTAATGATAGCTTATATAGTGAAAACCTCATACGTAATGCATAGAAAATGTGACATATCAAATAAGTATAGAATTGACTAAATGATATAAAAAACAAACAGAGGTAATTTAAAAAAAATTAGGGCCATCTGTAACAAGAAATCTGAGGGGGTATCAAGATGCCCCTTTATAAGATTAGAAAAACCTGCATGAGGATGAAATTTAATACTTTACCATTATAATACCCCTTAAACTGGGTTTGCTTTGCATGACCATGCTGCTTGGTTAATTTATCTAAGTGTAATGTAAATGTAACTGATGAAATGATAAAATCAAGATTCTGATGAAAGTTGATTAAGTTCCAGTATATTACTAAAAATACAATATTTGAATAAAAAAACCCCAGTGACAGGAGATACGCACGAACACGCTCTTGGCTCGAGATGTCAACCGGTATCGACTTTGCGGAAAACATCTTTGAATGCTCCGTCGTGATTTTCAACTTAAAGCAGGAGTTTCACTGATTGGATGGATTCAGTACAACATTTGGTATCCTTCTCCCACGGCGGGAGAGGGACACCAAATGTTGTGATGGTGGTGGTGGTGGTACTCCCACCGCCACTAGTTTACTTTATGTCCAGCGGGGCCGCTACTAGACCGAGGAATGTTTTTTCATACTATAAAAACACTATGTCTTATTTTGAAAGATATAACCGGAAACTAGACGTATTATTATGTATAACGTGACAGTGGTGTGGTACGTACGCAGTAATGAACCCGTTATCAGCGTCACTAGCTCGCGGAGACAGAAGCTGATAACGGGTACTGTTAATGATGGGCAGCGGTAGTACGCCTTCTCTCCCGGTTTAACCGAACAGACCCGGAATTCAGAAAGACGGAAACCATGGGACATATTCCAGGGTCGTGTAGATACAGCAGCCACGGAGAACACGGGTCGTTTGCTGACGTGAAACGGGGAATATAACCGCAGACGAAAAGAAATCCTCAAATACGCTCTCTCTCTCCACCATTTTGGTTGTCGGTGATGGAGCACATCCGGACGCCCAAGGTAACACCACTCGGCATTTCTATATGTGTCCGGTAACAGACTTAGACACTGAATCCCTCACAGACAAACCTGACGCATGCGACTGTAAGCTCAGATGCTCCTGCCATTAAAATGAGTTTTTGTTACTTATACAATATAACTATGGAATATATTGGAGATATTCTGTGCTCACACATGTTCCCAGTCATGACGTGGTAATGCAGTGATGCTGGCAACCACCATTTTTCTCCTGTCTGCCAAGCTGGCAGACATACACAGGCCTCATGTGGACCCCATCCACCACAGTACCACAGCATCATGGTCTGACCCTGTTTATATAGGATATAAATTAGTTACCATGGTATGCACACTATGCATGAATCTGACATGCTTTACAGTAACACATCAAAAAAGTTCCTACATGCCAACACGTGACAGAGACGTGTGTTTGTTGCATACAAGTGCATACACGTCAATAGTGTAAGCTATTATTACTGTGGTCTTGGGTTTATCTGCATGTCTTGGTGAGTGTACAGACCATATTTGAACTTCTTACCTATTTGTCACCTTTAATCAGTGTGTTTTTCGTATACACCAGTAATCTGTGATATTTTGCCTCTGTTAGGTGGAAAATGTGCGTCTCCTGGACCGGTCGTCAGGCCAGAGAAAGGTCAGCACTGGGACTCTCTACCTTTCTGCCACACACACCATCTTTGTGGAAAACAACCCTGAGACACGCAAGGAGACATGGGTAAGTTGGAAGCAGGGCGCTGCAGCTGTGAGAAATGAAAACTACCTTTAACGCTTCATTCATGTCCATAACATTATGGACACTGTATTTCTATTTAGCCATCATCACATCACTGCCTGACTGAAATCTCAGAGAACTTCATCCAAAGTAAAGCCTGGCTTTCTTTCTCATGTTGCTGACTCATATTGTTAAAGCCTTTCTCTGGGTAGGCTGCTGCTAATTACCCAGAAAAATAGTGCAGCGAATGGAGAAAAATGATTTAGCTCAGACACGCTTCTGTTTATTAGTCTGAACTGAATGTGTTTAGGTCTTTAGACAACATCCTGCACACATGCAGACAGAGGTGTACCAGCTGGAAGTGAATGGTAAATGAAGACATGCTGTGACAGTAATATGATCTGCAGAGTAGCATCTGTGTGATCTGGTGTTACTCAGGCTCATTTTATCATTAGTCACAGAAATGTCAAAGTAGTTTCTCTAAGCAAGCTGTCAGAAATACTTGTTTTGATCATTTAAACAAGAGCTGAAATAGACCGAGAGGATAATTTGATCTTTTCATCCTTTGACTATTGAAGAAAGTCTGAATAAGGAGCACAGTGCAGATGTAGGCAACATCAAGCAGTCCTCAGAAAGTCACCTGCAAATGACTGATGTTCAGATGCAAATTCAGGAACTGTTTTCATTTATTACTTAGGTAGAAAATACTCTTCAACATGAGGCCATTGCCTTAAGAAACAGTTTCAGCACAATCAGAACATCCAGTACAAACAGGAGAAGCACACAGAAGTTAAAGTAGTTATGCCTCAGCTTTAGAGTTAGGCCTTGCAGCTACAATATGTTATTCTGTGGCTGCTTCTCTTTTCTATTATTGCTTGTAGAACCGTCATGATGATAGGGCATTGGGAAACTTGGCTGTTTTTGAGCTTCACTGTGGTTTGAATCAAATGGTATAATTTTAATTTTTTGTGAAAATCCTACCAGCCTTACGAAGCTCGTATTACCTCATGACTGTCAGCACTGGGTGAGTGCTGAGTTTCCAGACACATGAAGGAAAGATGCTGCCCTTCCCCCCCTTCATATCCCCTGTAGGAGGTAGATGAGGAGTCTGCCTTATCCCTCTGGACTTCACTAGATAATAATGGCATACAGGGGTATCACATTTCACCCAGCAGGCTCCAACTGTGCCCACTGGAACTGCAGGAACAAAGAATACAGATTTTAGCTTGTCAGCTTGTTTAAAGAAAACAGCTGCTAACAACCTTCCACTTGTTCTTGGTCACTGCATTTACTTCCTGTGAGAACAGCCCAGGAACTCTATTATGAACTGATGGTGACATTTCCTCTTCAGAATTTTAGATCACAAGACAGATTACACAATAACCTGACACGTGTTGGACGTAATGCTGCGCACTTAAAACCTCATTATGTATGCTTTTGTGCTTTGTTAGTGAATAGTGAGACAAATGTGTGGATGTGTTTCAGGTGCTGCACAGCATGGTGAGCAGTGTGGAGCGGCCGCCCAGCACCCCTGTAGGAAGTCAGCTGATCCTGCGATGTAAGGACTTCCGGGTCTTCCAGATCCTCATCCCACAAGAGAGGGACTGTTCAGATGTCCACACCTCTTTGGTCAGGCTGTCTCGACCAGGTGGGCGTGTGTATTTGGGTAAATCTATGTTTGAGTGTTTTTTATGCACACAAACATTTGCTCTGCATGGTTTCATGAACTGGTGTGTTCTCTTCTCCCCACCCCCTTGGCTGAATGGACAGGTGTTGGATGAAGGGGTCTTTACATTTGGTCCCAGATACAGTGCTGCACAGCACAGACCAATCTGTTTGCTTAATTTTGTAATAGGTCAGGCAAAAATAAGCATTTGGCTTACTAGGAGGGACAAAATGAAGGGGGCAGTTTGTTCAGATACCAGCCTGTTGTTTTTCAGGGCTGTGGTGTCAGCACGTCTTAAAGGACCTTTTAAATGTTATAGAATAGTATCAAATTTAGAGGAGTTTGTTTCTATCAGTGGATTTGGGAATGTTTTATGAAATGTCTTACAATAATCACTGGTTCTTAATTTCCAGTTGAATAAAGCTGGTCATTTACCTTATTTTTGTTCAAGATGTCAGTAATAGGTGTCGGGTGTTGTGCACATGGGCTACATATGAACAGGATGTGTGTGTGTGTGTGTGTGTGTGTGTGTGTGGTTTTATTTATGTATTTATTTTCTTCTGTGGTTCTATTATAAATGAATAATTTGGTTTATTAAAAGTTTTGTTAAAGGTCAAGGTCTCCTCTCCTCTCCTCTCTCAGAGAAGTACAGTGAGCTGTACTGCCTGTCCTTCAATCCCAATGTGAATAAAGAGGAGAGAGAGGAGTCGTGGAAATTCATAGATCTCATGGCCGACTACAAGAGGATGGGAGTTCCTAACAATCTGTGGGTCTCTACAGCAGCCAACAGCGAATACAGGGTCAGTCTAATTGTGACTTGTGCATAGTCAGGTATTACAGTGTTTGTATAACAATTACAGGACAACCACTCAGTTGATGAGGTTGAATTAAAGGTATAGAGACAGAGCGCAACATGTCATACTTAGAAAACCATGCCCACCAGGGGTGGGGGGGATTCCTTGCTCTCCATTGACTTTGTATTGGGTGAAGTTGTCTCTTTGACAATTTGCTCTTTTTACAAATACTGAATAATACCTAAAAGCAACTCTGTGATAGGATGCACTACCAACAAGGCAAAGTACCCAAGGTTAAAGTTTTAAAAGCTGCCGAACAAAAAGCTGTGAGGCTTTAGGAAGACAAAACTGGCTAAGATGTTAGGCATTAGCAGGAACAATGAGAAAACAGAAATCATGACACTTGATGCAGTATGTCTGTGTGTGGCAGACATCTTGGTATGTTTACAAGTGCCTTAGCTAACTGCAGTAGCTTACCAGCACATAGCACAAGTGAGGAAAATTGGTGGTCCATTTATTTATTTCCAGAACAGATCTAGAGGAAAGCTGGGGTGCAGTTGATGACTAAAATGATTATGGGACAAGTTAGCTGTCAGAACGTTAGCTGTGTGTTAGCAAGCTACTTGTTCTTCCTACTAGTGCCTCACATTTATGGCCAAAAATATTGGCAACCCTGCATTTAGATAGCTAGCATAGCATAGATAGCATTTAGATAGATGTTAGATAATGCACCACGTCTCTTAGAGAATTGTAGCAGTCACAAATTCTATTGTATTCTCATGTTTATTTCTCTTGTTTGCATTGGAGCAACAAAAAAGCAGAGAAAAAAAGCCAAAATCTGATTAATTCCACACAGAACTACAAAAATGGACTGGACAGAATTATTGACACCCTTTCCAAATCATCAGAAACAGTTGTATTTCAAGCATGTGATGTGCCTTTAATTTGTAATGAAACTCGTGTAGCAATCAGTAGGTGCTGGCAACATAGAAATCACACTGGCAACCAGTTAAAATGGAGAAGCTGACTCAACCTTTGTGTCATGTGGACCACACTTAGCACGGAGAAAAGAAAGAAGAGCAAAGAATTGTCTGAGGATTTGAGAACCACAGAAGTGGAAAAGCTTGGACAGTCTCAAGGCTCAAAGTCCATCTCCAGAGATCTGGCTGTTCCTGTGTCCACAACATTTACAGCCCAGAGGTTTACAGCCCATGGCGCTGTAGCTAATCTCCCTGGGCGTGGACAAAAGAAAACAGTTGTATTTCAAGCATGTGATGTGCCTTTAATTTGTAATGAAACTCATGTAGCAATCAGTAGGTGCTGGCAACATAGAAATCACACTGGCAACCAGTTAAAATGGAGAAGCTGACTCAACCTTTGTCATGTGGACCACACTTAGCACGGAGAAAAGAAAGAAGAGCAAAGAATTGTCTGAGGATTTGAGAACCACAGAAGTGGAAAAGCTTGGACAGTCTCAAGGCTCAAAGTCCATCTCCTTAGATCTGGCTGTTCTTGTGACCACTGTGCACTACATTTACAGCCCAGAGGTTTACAGCCCATGGCGCTGTAGCTAATCTCCCTGGGCGTGGACAAAAGAGAACAGTAGATGACAGATTGCAATGAAGGATTGTTTGAATGGTGGACCTCCATCAATGTTCAGTCAAATCCAAGCTGACCCGCAGGCACAGGGTGCAACAGTGTCATCTCGCACTGTCTAACACTATCTGAATGACAAGGGAAGCTATGGTAGGAGACCCAGGGAGAGCCACTGAAGACACAGACATAAAACAGCCAGATTGGAGTTTGCCAGAACTTACCTGAGGAAGCCATAGTCCTTGTGGAACAATGTCCTGATGAGACTGAAACAGAGCTTTTTGGTCGAGCACATCATTCTACTGTTTTCAGAAAATGAAAGTAGGCCTTCAAAGAAAAGAACATGGTCCCTACAGTCAAACATGGTGGAGGTTCACTGATGTTTTGTGGTTGCTTTGCTGCTTCAGGCACTGGATGTCTTGATTGTGTGTATGGCATTATGAAATCTGAAGACTACTAGTGAATTCTGGGGCCCAATGTAGGACCAGTGTCAGAAAGTTGGGCCTCTGTCAGAGGTCATGGGTCTTACAGCAGGACAGTGAGCCAAAGCAGACTTCAAAAAGCACCAGAAATGGTTTCAGACAATGAGCTGGAGAGTTCTGAAGAGGCCAGCAATGAGTCCAGATCTAAACTCCATAGAGAACCTGGGGAGAGATCTCAGAACAGCAGCTGGGGAGAAGGAACCCTTCAGATCTGAGAGACCTGGAGCAGCAGGGAAAACTCTACAGGTAGAGGGAGCTCAATTTTGAAAGTGGTCAACTAAAGAAATCCCATCCTTTCGTTCCAAAGCCATTTCTCCAAAACAAAACTCAAAATAAAACTGATAACTGTTGATAATTATCCAACAGAAATATAACTACCATGGTTTCACTTTTCAGCCCTTTTTCTTCTCTCAGTTATCGCTATCATTCATCAGCCGCACCAGTGTTAATTCTGGTTTTATTTCTTGCAGGATCCAACTTCTTTTTAGCTGTAACTTTCTAGAATACAATCTCCATGTGTGAACGAAAGCAGCTATGGGAACCTTCTTTGCCATAGCTTGTTAGCTTTAGCTGTAAAAACAGAGCTGTAAAACTTCTGCCTGCCTGGCCTTGTGGGAGACTCCTGGCTTGTGCAATGAGTGCAAGGGCAGAGTGCACTCAAGTAGGAAGTTAGGTTGACAGGCAGGTAGGCCATCCAGTGGTTTTGCTCAGACCGAGTAAAGTTACTGGTCGTTTTTTTTTTTCAGCCTTGCTGCTGCCACAGATGAGGGATTTTTTTTTTTTTATGTTGTCCGTGCATTTACTGTATTCACAGCCATCGGGATGAAAAGACAGTTTCAAGAAATGTAACAAAAATGCTTCAGAAATTCGCTAAGCCTACCTTTAAGTGGTAACCTTATGCAGGATGGTGTTATTAGAAATGAAAGTTACTTCTTGTATAAAACAAATTGGAGCTGATGTGAAGTTCTTCCTCTACTAAAGCCATTACTTTAATATACTCTGTGGTGTGTAATTGTCTACCTACAGTATTTTTCTTGCTAAGTGCAGTTGGTACACTGTGTACTCAGGACATTTACAAAGTCATAGATAAGGTAACCCTGGCCTCATTGACAGATTATCTGGAGGCAGCTGTTTTTGCTAACCTGAAGCAAACAGACGCCCTTTCAAAATGAGACCATAGAGTGATCTTCTTAACTCATAGCTATTAGCTCAGTCTGGTTCCAGACTTACTGTATATGTGTTCACAATGTTGCTGGACTGCTTTTGTTACTTACAGTACTAAAGGTTTTGATACATCTTCTCACTGAAGGGCTTATCTCTGTTTCTATTATTTTTACATTGTAGATTCATACTAAAGATGTAATTCAGTGGGAAAGTGTGTCCAAACATTTGACTGGCAGTGTATAAAATCTATGCAACAACACTTATGGAGTTGTGTAGTAAGCAAAAATATATTTCATATTTAAGATTCTTTATAAAAGCCACTGCTTGCCCTGATGACAGCTTTGCACACTATTGGCAATATGCGAACAAGCTTCACAAGATAGTTACCAGGAATGGTTTTCAGTTAACAGATGTCCTTTGTCAAACATTTGGTGAAATTTCTCACCTTTTTAATGCATTTGAGAGCATTGGTTGTGTTGTGCCAAGGTAGTGTTGGTATACAGCAAATAGCCCGTAGTGTGCAGTACTAATCCATATCATGGCAAGAACTGTCCAATTAAGAAACGAGAAAAGACAGTTGATCATAACTTTTAAGACATGAGGGTCAGTCAACCTGGAAAATTTCAAAAACTTTGAAAGGTTTTTCAGTCATAAAAACCATCAGACACTCTGATGAAACTGGCTCTCATGAGGACCTCCCCAGACCTTTGTGGCAGAGGAGAAGTTCATTAGAGTTACCAGCCTCAGAAATTGCCAGTTAACAGCACGTCAGATCAGAGCCTAGTGCTTCCCAGAGTTAGTTAGCAGACACCTCTCAACATTAGCTGTTTGGAGGTGACTGTGTGAATCAAGCCTTCATAGTCAACCAGCCAACTAGTGCTCAGCATATATGGGAACTCTTTCAAGATTGTTGGGAAATCATTTCAGGTCGCCACCTCATGAAACTGGCTGAGAGAAAGCCAAGAGTGTGCAAAGCTGTTACCAAAGTAAAAGGTGGCTAGTTTTGAAGGATCTAAAACATCTTTAACATGTGCCATTTCAGAGTGTTGATGTATTCACTATTAATTTACAATGTACTAAATAATAGGAACAAAGAAAATACACTGAATAACAAGGTGTGTCCAAACATTTGACTGGCACTGTAATCTAAGAATTTAGAAATATTTAATCTTAACTTAATATTTAATTAGAGACAGGCAGTCATAACTTTTAAAGGACTAGTTTGATATTTTTGGACATATTCTTTTTTCCCCAAGAGTTACAGTGCCTTGCGAAAGTATTCGGCCCCCTTGAACTTTGCGACCTTTTGCCACATTTCAGGCTTCAAACATAAAGATATAAAACTGTAATTTTTGCACATCGAGAGACTGAAATTTTTGCCCATTCCTCCTTGCAAAACAGCTCGAGCTCAGTGAGGTTGGATGGAGAGCGTTTGTGAACAGCAGTTTTCAGTTCTTTCCACAGATTCTTGATTGGATTCAGGTCTGGACTTTGACTTGGCCATTCTAACACCTGGATATGTTTATTTGTGAACCATTCCATTGTAGATTTTGCTTTATGTTTTGGATCATTGTCTTGTTGGAAGACAAATCTCCGTCCCAGTCTCAGGTCTTTTGCAGACTCCATCAGGTTTCCTTCCAGAATGGTCCTGTATTTGGCTCCATCCATCTTCCCATCAATTTTAACCATCTTCCCTGTCCCTGCTGAAGAAAAGCAGGCCCAAATCATGATGCTGCCACCACCATGTTTGACAGTGGGGATGGTGTGTTCAGGGTGATGAGCTGTGTTGCTTTTACGCCAAACATAACGTTTTGCATTGTTGCCAAAAAGTTTGATTTTGGTTTCATCTGACCAGAGCACCTTCTTCCACATGTTTGGTGTGTCTCCCAGGTGGCTTGTGGCAAACTTTAAACGACACTTTTTATGGATATCTTTAAGAAATGGCTTTCTTCTTGCCACTCTTCCATAAAGGCCAGATTTGTGCAGTATACGACTGATTGTTGTCCTATGGACAGAGTCTCCCATCTCAGCTGTAGATCTCTGCAGTTCATCCCGAGTGATCATGGGCCTCTTGGCTGCCTCTCTGATCAGTCTTCTCCTTGTATGAGCTGAAAGTTTAGAGGGACGGCCAGGTCTTGGTAGATTTGCAGTGGTCTGATACTCCTTCCATTTCAATATTATCGCTTGCACAGTGCTCCTTGGGATGTTTAAAGCTTGGGAAATCTTTTTGTATCCAAATCCGGCTTTAAATTTCTCCACAACAGTATCTCGGACCTGCCTGGTGTGTTCCTTGTTCTTCATGATGCTCTCTGCGCTTTAAACGGACCTCTGAGACTATCACAGTGCAGGTGCATTTATACGGAGACTTGATTACACACAGGTGGATTCTATTTATCATCCTTTGTCATTTAGGTCAACATTGGATCATTCAGAGATCCTCACTGAACTTCTGGAGAGAGTTTGCTGCACTGAAAGTAAAGGGGCTGAATAATTTTGCATGCCCAATTTTTCAGTTTTTTATTTGTTAAAAAAGTTTGAAATATCCAATAAATTTTGTTCCACTTCATGATTGTGTCCCACTTGTTGATTCTTCACAAAAAATTACAGTTTTATATCTTTATGTTTGAAGCCTGAAATGTGGCAAAAGGTTGCAAAGTTCAAGGGTGCTGAATACTTTCGCAAGGCACTGTATACCAGAAGATTGATACCAAATTCGTGTGGACACAAAGTATGAATCTGCTGCTAGCAGCAAGCTACACACAAACAAGATTCAACATGTTAAGCAGCGAGCTTTTTGTCTTTGTGCTAAGCTAAGCTATCCGGCTGCTGGCAGTAGCTTCATATTTAATGTATATACATGTGATGTAGACTTGTGGTATCAATCTTCTCATTTAATTTTTGACAAGAAGGCCAGTAAACATGCTTCCTAAAATATCAAATGTTTACATTTTCATTACAACTTCATACGACAACAGGTGATTCCGCCATCGGTTTTTCCTCTCTGCTTCCCTAACAGACAGGTCATAAGTATTCAGACCCTTTGCTCAGTATTTAGTAGAAGCACCCTTTTGAGCTAATACAGCCATGAGTCTTTTTGGGAATGATGCAACAAGTTTTTCACACCTGCATTTGGGGATCCTCTGCCATTCCTCCTTGCAGATCCTCTCCAGTTCTGTCAGGTTGGATGGTAAACGTGGGTGGACAGCCATTTTCAGGTCTCTCCAGAGATGCTCAATTGGGTTTAAGTCAGGGCTCTGGCGGGGCCATTCAAGAACAGTCACGGAAGAGCCTTGGTGAGAGAGGTACAGAAGAACCCAAAGATGACTGTGGCTGAGCTCCAGAGATGCAGTCGGGAGATGGGAGAAAGTTGTAGAAAGTCAACCATCACTGCAGCCCTCCACCAGTCGGGGCTTTATGGCAGAGTGGCCTGACGGAAGCCTCTCCTCAGGGCAAGACACATGAAAGTCCGCATGGAGTTTGCTAAAAAACACTTTAAGGACTCCAGGATGTTGAGAAATAAGATTCTCTGGTCTGATGAGACCAAGATAGAACTTTTTGGCCTTAATTCTAAGCGTTATGTGTGGAGAAAACCATGCACTGCTCATCACCTGTCCAATACAGTCCCAACAGTGAAGCATGGTGGTGGCAGCATCATGCTATGGGGGTGCTGCAGGGACAGGACGACTGGTTGCAATCGAGGGAAGGGTGAATGCGGCCAAGTACAGGGATATCTTGGACGAAAACCTTCTCCAGAGTGCTCAGGACATGACTGGGCCGAAGGTTCACCTTCCAACAAGACAATGGCCCTAAGCACACAGCTAAAATAACGGAGTGGCTTCCCAACAACTCCGTGACTGTTCTTGAATGGCCCAGCCAGAGCCCTGGCTTAAACCCAATTTAGCATCTCTGGAGAGACCTGAAAATGTCAACCAATGTTTACCATCCAACCTGACAGAACTGGAGAGGATCTGCAAGGAGGAATGGCAGAGTATCCCCAAATGCAGGTGTGAAAAACTTGTTGCATCATTCCTAAAAAGACTCATGGCTGTATTAGCTCAAAGGGGTGCTTCTACTAAATACTGAGCAAAGGGTCTGAATACTTATGACCATGTGATATTTCAGTTTTTCTTTTTTAATAAATCTGCAAAAATGTCAAAAATTCTGTGTTTTTCTGTCAATATGGGGTGCTGTGTGTACATTAATGAGGAAAAAAATGAACTTAAATGATTTTAGCATATGGCTGCAATATAACAAAGAGTGAAAAATTTAAGGGGGTCTGAATACTTTCCGTACCCACTGTATATACACAACGCCACAGTAATGTGATGATGATGATGGTATTGGTAAAAATAAGTAATGGTACTAGGGAGAAACATTAAGCCGCAGAGTGACCATTAAAGAAAGTATAGTAATGGCTTTATTAATGAATATGGTTGGTAGTATTGATAGTTTGGTATTGACAACAAATCCCATGTGCATTACTGTAGGGCTATGAAACTCTTACAAACACATTAGTGAACCACGCTGTTGCACTGGGTGACATATTCCTGCATTACCATGAGCAAACACTTTCCTTCCACGTACACTGTCCTGCTGCCCCAAATACTCACTAGAGCACCAGATGTGTATTAATCCGCAGATAAAAATAGTCCCCCAAAAACATGTTATTTACTCCTTTTTACTAAAGACTCCAATGTCCAGCTGTTTGGGGATTTTTGTAAAAGATGAAGCTATATATTTATAATCTTTTTTAGAAATGTATTTCTGCAGGACAAACCGTTCATCTTCTGCAATCTAACTAACAGGCTAGGGAAGTCAGAAAATATTGTGAGATGGACTAACATTGCTGTTTTTTCCATGGAATTTGTTAATAATAAAACAATCCTAACATCATTCTTTAGTCTTCATCCTCACCATATCTCCTCACACTGAGAAACATACAGTATCTCAAAAATAAAAGTCTCATCACCTGTGAAATAATGTGTACATTATGTGACTTGGGTCATCCTGATGTTAAAATGTGTGTCCTCCAAGGTGTGTGATACGTACCCCTCAGAGCTGTTTGTGCCAAAGTCGGCCACACCGGCCATCACTGTGGGCAGCTCAAGGTTCAGGAGTCGAGGACGATTTCCTGTTCTGTCCTACTTCCACCAGGACACACTGGTCAGTGTGGCACACAAACACACACATGCACAAACACACACAGGAAAATGATGAGAATGATGATGATGATGTTTTATTGACCGATAGGCAGCGGTGTGCCGGTGTAGTCAGCCACTCTCAGGCTTTAGTGGACGCTGTCAAGAGGATGAGATGATGCTTCAGGCTGTGATGAAGTCCAACCCTGGTAGTGACTATATCTATGTGGTGGATACAAGGCCCAAGGTATTGTAACCCACACCCACTCTCAGACACACCCAAGTACAGCCACAGTGTATAATACAAATATACAGAGAGCAAAATATTCACATATACAGTACTGTGTCTATGTCCAGCTGAATGCCATGGCAAACCGAGCAGCAGGTAAAGGCTATGAGAACGAGGACCACTACACCAACATCAAGCTGCAGTTCATTGGCATTGAAAACATTCATGTGATGAGGAGCAGCCAGCAGAAAATCATTGATGGTAACAAGAAGAGTGTGTGTGTTTGTGTGTGTATATACATGTCTTTTGATGGTTGTGTGGACAAATTTCAGTTCAGTACCATCTTTGTCTTGTGTGGCTGTACACTGGGAGGACCAGATGGACCTTTATACCATGGCAGTGAGGACATTTTGGCTGTTCCTCACTTTTTGACAATAGCTGTTTGAGGGTTAAGACTTGGTTTTAGGGTTAAGGATAGAATAAGATTTGGGTCAGGTATTAGGAGAAGGGTGGGGGTTACACATTTACCTAGCTGTGATTTTTAAGGTTAGGGTCAGGGACTTGGGAATACATTATCTCACTGAGTGTTCTCACGACCATAAAAAGTCAAAGGTGTTTGTATGTGTGTTGAGCAGCTTGCACAACTTTTCAGCATGTGATGAAGAAAGGGCACCAGCTGAGGGAAGAGGAGCTGCTATCAGTACATACCCAGACTTCTTTTGACAGCATCTTGTCCTATTTTCCTGTGTGCTTATGTTTGTAAACCTCCTCTCTTTCTTCAATGCAGTGGGTGACATGCGATCTCTGTCCATGACTGACTTTCTGTGGGGTCTGGAGAGCTCTGGTTGGCTCAAACACATTAAAGCCATACTAGATGCTGGGGTCTTCATTGCCAGGGTGTGTACACAGTCAGACACAGACACACACACAGGCATGTGCTCAGACCCACAACCACAAGCATTTTAAATACTGAAAATGTTTGATTGGATTCTAATCATATAATCTATGTAAAGACTCATAAAACCCAGGTGTGAGGAAAGTGTAAGTGCAACAAAGATGCAATGAAGATCTTTTTAGCCTTTGGTGGTCTCTGTTTGGTACCTGTACGCTTTATGTCAGTGTAATGCATGCATGCATGCATTTTCTACCGTTTAGTCTCTGAACGGGGTCACGGGGGGGGGGGGGCAGAGCCAATCCCGGCCGGCAATCGGGGTATACCGGTCGCCAATCCATTGCAGATTTCAGTGTAATGGAAGTGGTTAAAAATGATGGGAAGTGAAAGGTGAGGAGAAAGCAAAATCAGGTGTTTACTGTTGACTGTAAATGGTGAGATGAGATATTTGAAAATACATTACTCACTGCGTCAAACAGAGATGCTTTGTAGTGCTGACTGTCAGTGTACTAGAGCTACTGTACAGTCATCAATGCCAGGCAAAAAGGCCGATAAAAGTGAGACGTAGCATTTTCATATTAAAACACTAGCATATTAATTATAAGACAGTAGAATGATTTTCATAAACGAATGAGACCATCACTGAGAGGGCCATCATCTCTGCTGGCCTTCAGTGGAATTTTTTATTATCAGATAACTGATATACTTTTTCATTAGTCTGTTAATTATTTAGTTTACAAAATATGAAAAAAACTATGAAAAACATTACAATTTCACAGAGACCACTTTTCATATTTCTTGTTTTGTCAAAACAACAGTCCAAAACCTAAGAGAATATTTGACATTTTGACCTTATATTTAACTAAAATTACTTATTAGCACTGGGGGGCAGGTCCACTTGGCGCGACCTGCCTGTCTTCCGCCTTTCTCTCCTCTGCTCTCTCGACCTGCGGGATCTGCACCTCAGCTGTGTTGCATTCGGTAATTAGCGACTTGTTTGTCGGTGCACACAGCTGGGGTGCATCCCGATGATTACCTTTCCTCCTTATTTATACCTCTGGCAGACGCTCTGTCTTCGCCGGAGCATTAACTTAATCTCATTTTGTACGTTGGTTACATGTTTCTTGTGTTACACGTCTCCAGACATCCACGCTGACAGTTCCTGTGCTGTGGATTTCCTTTTTTGTTCGCCAATCCTCCTGGGTAGTTTGTTTATTCACCTGTTCGTCCTGTTCCTCCCACTCTCCTGTTTTTTGCCATTAGCCTGTCTACTCCCCTTGTCGTCCTGGTCTCCTCAGCCACCTTTGCCCAGCCCTGGTTGTATGTGTTCATTGACTCTGTTCCTTTTTTGTGATTCCCACCATTAAAACCACCTTTGTTACTAGCACCTGGGTCAGCAATCTTGAGTCCTACCTCAGTTCTCCCTCACCCTCCTGGTGAGGGGGACTAAACCTTAACACTAATAATTAGTCAAATTGTTGTTGCAAATGAAAATTGAAAAATTGCTTTATGGCACAAAATGGAAGTTGTTTTACCAAATAAAATAGGATAAGGGCCAACCAGCAAAAGAGTAGAGCCTGATTCAACTTTTGTGGCATTGCGATGCAATGAGGTAAGGCACTGCGTTGGCATGTCCACATATTTAAAAGCACACATTCCCAGTGGATGACTTTGTAACGCTGTGTGTGCAGTTGTTGAAGGGTACAATGTTTGCCTCTGTGATAAAATGCTATATAATATAACTCAGCAGTTTTTAGGATTGGTTACTGAAGTTGAACTTCTTGGATTAAATTACGCAACCTCTCTGGTACCTGAGGAACATGCCCACTCCACCACACACAGAGCTGGTTTTGGTGTGAACAGCTGGTTTAAATACTGCCGCTATAACTGCTCTGTCTGTCTCCAGGCGGTGACTGATGAAGGTGTCAGTGTGTTGGTTCACTGTTCAGATGGCTGGGACAGGACGTCCCAGGCCTGCTCTGTAGCCAGTGTACTGCTGGACCCCTACTACAGAACCATCAAAGGACTCATGGTAACACACACGCACGCACATTGTGAGAACAGTCATCAACATCATTCGTTCCCTAGCCCCTTACCCTAACATATCCCCTGACCAAAACCTAATTCTAACCTGAGCCCTAGGACCAATCTTAACCCCTTGAAGTTATGAGGACCAGCCAAAATGTCCTCACAGCAATTGTACAGAAATAAAGTTTGTCCATACAACTATAGAAGGATATGTACCCACTAGGGATGCATCGATACCGAGACCAGTGTTGGTATCAGGTTCGATACCACCCTCTAGTACTGTGCTCGTGACTCATAAAAGTTGTCCGATACCACTTAACAGCAGCATTTACATTAACCTCAGGCCGGCTGAGGCACTGATTAGGCGGTGGAGAAGACATTTCAGTGCTTTGTGGATATTTTAAGACAACTGACGATGACTAAAGTAAAGCCGACTGTGAGCTCTGATTCTCTGTTCTGTGTCTCTGTGACAGGGAGGGAGGGGTGCCCACAGGCACACAAACTGTGTGTCTGTGAGTGCACAGACATAGAGGAAAAGATGACGAGGTATAGTAGTTAATATTTTACTGCGACAACATTTGATATGTGCAACAAAATCCAGCAGCAGTGGAGAGGGTAAATAATCAAACACCTGTTGAACAAGCAGAACACAGCAACGTGTTCACTCTCCCCACAATCAGAATGCCTCATCCTGTTCACTCATATGATGCTTGTTATGCTGAGTGTAGCAAATTGATGAGAACAAGACAAACTCTCATTTTAAATAGTTAACAGCAGAATCTGATGGGCTGTGTGTATGAAAGTTAGCTGAATCCTTGTGGACTTGGAGCCTGAATCCAGCAGCTCCTCTACAGCAGAGCAGGCGTGTGTCCAGCTGAGAGAATAGGACGAAGCCAAACACAGCAGCAGTTTTAAAGTAAGAACATGTCCATCCATCCATTATCTATACTGCTTAGCCTAATGAGGGTCACGGGCAACTAGAACCAATCCCAGCTGACACTGAGCGAGAGGCGGGGTACACCCTGGACAGATCCATAAGAACATGTACCCTCATTAAATGAAACATTTATATTGCTGACTGTGATATTATCCGCACCCAAACTTTCTGCTCTGGGCGGGGTTGTGAAATCATTTCATCCTAAAAGAGGGTTGTGCTCCTATAAAGGCTAAAAACCACTGTATCACAGCATGAAGTAGGCTCCAGACCTTCAGTCAGTTAAATGTTATGGTCAGTAGGAATGGTGGCAGTGCTGTGTTTATCACAGTTTTCAAATTTCCTGTTATAATTTTATCACAATCAGCAGATAAATCTCAAGATAATATAAACTCTAATTTGGATTTGTAGTGTAGAAACACTGCATTATTATTAAGTACTTGTATCGGTACTTGGTATTGGTAAGTACTCAAAAATATAAGTACTTGTACGTGATCTGAAAAAAGTGGTATCGGTGCATCCCTAGTACCCACACAGAAACGCAGCGTTCTAAGACACATCATGACCATCTCAGTTATTATCTCTGGTTTATTCCTCCTCTTCCTCTCCTCCCTTCTAGGTTCTGATAGAGAGAGACTGGGTTGCCTTTGGACACAAGTTCTCCCACAGGTCAGTAACTGTGCCTGACTCATGACAGACTTCAACAGTGTCTGAAAAGCACAGTCATTATAATAACTTTGTGCATTCTATTTTGGCAGAGAGGGCCAACCGCTGGTCTCAACAGTTGAACTGTGCAGTTAGACAGTTTGCAAATTAGCATTTTAAGATGTCAGATAGTAAACATCACAACACCCCACACATCTTTTGTAGCTGTAAGAATAACACTAGGAGGCTGATGTGCACAGACGGTCCCAATCTGCAGTTTGTATAGAAAACCTGATACGACATGAGATAGTAATTGTAATGTTTTCAAAAGAATCAGATCAGTTAAAATAACACATTTACTGTAATACTACAGCAGGTTCAGGCAATTGATACATTTAAAACTGGAAATGCTTTGGTTTTGGGCTGTGTATAAATGAGGCAGGAAAAGAAAGAGGAAGAAACAGCGTGGTAGGTGGAAACTAACAGACAAACTGTAAGAAAGTGTGAGACTGGCAGGGAAATTTTTTTTTAGACAGAGACGCAGACAGAAAACTAGGCTGAAGTTACTTATAAATACTAGGTCAACAGATTTGGGTCAGTACAGAAACCCCTTCAGATGTTTTTCCATAATTGAGAGCACAGAGTCACAACATTACTACTTAAAGGACAGACACATCAGAAAAATAGTTCCTAATGATGAAGATGATTAGAGAGGTTTTCTGCTTCTGGCTTTATTTCTGAGCCAGAGAAATGATTCAAATCAGGGTCACAACTAATAGAATGTGTTCAGTATAGAATAATCTATTGCTGTTTTAAACATTTTAAAATATTTTTATGAATAATGATGATTAAATAACAGACAGTACACAACATACTGTACTGTATAGGTCACATAGACCCAAGATAAATAAATCCAAAGAAAACAAACATAAAAAGAATTTACAGAACAAAACACACAATTTTCTACAGTTTCCAAATCTACTAGTGTTCTAATAAGGAGGTAGTAATAATAAGCCTTACCTATAAAAATTACAAACAAGATGGTTAATGATATCATGCTCTTCCTGGCCACATGTTGAAGTATGAAGCACTTTGTTACTGCTGAAAAGTACTATATTAAGGCAGTCACTTTTATATTAATGCTTATATTATGTTATCATATGTATATTTTCAAATATGAAGCGTTCATGAATGTCAGCAAAGGACAACCAGGTGGAACAAGTCCACATGTTGCATTTGTTAAGTGTGTAGTGGGGTGGAGAGTAAGGAGAGAGCTGTGTGCCTGCAGGTACGCCCATCTGGATGGAGATCCTAAAGAGGTGTCCCCTGTCATTGATCAGTTTCTGGAGTGTGTGTGGCAGCTGTCAGAACAGTTCCCATGTGCCTTTGAGTTCAATGAGCGCTTCCTCATTGCCATACACACCCATGTCTACTCTTCTCAGTATGGGACTTTCCTGGGCAACAGCCAGAAGGAGCGCAGGGATATGAGGTAAACACACTGGCCACTGCATAGTGTTGCACCATTTCAAGTGGCTGACTGGACTTGAGCTGCTTAAATGTCAAAATACAAACAGGAAAAATACACAGACACATACTCACATGTACAACACATGCACGTAGGCATCCCCTCGATCAGTGAATTACAGACTTTGTTGGAATTCTGTTGGTTTATCCCCCACTCTAGGACATTTTTTAATGGTTATCTCATCAGCTATTGTAATTTCTGTTGCTTTTTTAATTTGTCGAGGACTACTGCTGTAATCAGTGATCACAGATTATAAAGTCAAATAATATCACATCTACAGCACTGTGTGGTTGCCCAGACTGTGAATCAGACTCAGATTTGTTTTCATCTTACAAACAAAGGATTCAGTGGTGTGCCTGAGGTGCTGTCATGACTAGGGTTGCAGCAGTATACTGGTTTCACAGTATAAAATGGTATATAAATTGACAGTTATCACACCATTACACATGTATTTACACGTTATTACTGGTACTGAAGAAATCTTGCCCAACCGCCTGTCAGACTCCTCACCGGTTGCCACACGCACACATGAAGCGGACAAACGTCAGAGAAGGAGGCAGAAATCACCAAACTCAGCAGTACAGGATTACTTATATGCAGTTTTTCTTTATCATGTTTATAATTCTGTTTATTCTTCATAGTGTCACTCTAGCACTGCAATCCAGCTCAGTCAACTGGCACAATCACTTGCAGTTAAAAAAAGATCCATCTGTTTTCATTCCTTTAACCTTTAAGGGTCATAGTAGCTGGTAATAATAGTAATTGTGTAATACCGTATACTGTAAAACAGTGAAACCATGATATTTTCTGAGATGGTTATCATACCATGAAAATGTCAAATTGTTGCAACCGTAGTCGTGATTTCTAGCAACTCTGAGCAGTGGTGGATACGGGGAGTATTTATTTTGAATTTGAGACAGAAATCACCTAAAGTGGTTTCAGTTTGGCGGCTGGGAGATTCATATAACCTGTAAATGTAAACAAGCAGCACTAGTTCCTCCGGTCTTTTTTTTTTCTCAGCATCATACATTTATTGACCCTGTTGTTGGCTGGTGTGTGTATTGTTTGAATGCAGGCTTCATGAGCGGAGTCATTCTTTGTGGCCTCAGCTGTGGTTGGACAGAGCCCAGTACACCAACCCACTGTATAAGGCCGAGCTGAGTCAGAGTCAGGGCGTCCTGAGACCCAACACCACCCCCTACTGCTTCAAGTGAGTCACTGCAGCGTGTGCATCCGCACTCACACAGGGAAAAGTATTAATGGTGCACAAATGTATGATAAAAATGTACTGGTGTTTGGTGAAAAGACAAAATAAATACTGCTGCATTCTGTACTTACTACCTTTCTAACATATAGTAATGCAATATATTATATGTATGTACAGTACAGTATATTATCTAAATGAATGTATGCTTAATTTCCTTTTCTTTGCTACTTATAGAAACAGATATTGTCTGTTGGCTGTCAGAGCCTGACATAATCAAGAAATAAGGGGAAAAATATTAAAAGAAAACCATTATAAAAATATATTTTAATGCCTTTTTATTCCATGTCTCTTCTTGTCTCCAGAATGTGGAAGGGTCTCTATAACCACATGGAGAAATCCACACCTCCTCATCAGTCACCTGCTGACTTCCTGTCTGCTGTGAGGGAGGAGTCCCAGCAGCTGGAGGAGGAGCTGACCAATCACCAGGAGGTACCGCCAGGAGGAACCGCCCACCACCACCACCACCCGGGCTCCAGACAAGGCATACAACACACAAAGACACCCCCTGTTATGACACCATTTTAACCCCAGTTCCACATCCACTGCTTCAAAATGAGTCTGAAAACTCTCTGAGGTGCTGCTCACATGAGAGACTTCAATGCTATAGTATTACACAGTATTATCCATCTGAAATCAGGTCATTGCTTCCTCTTTGCCCAAATGAAACTTAAATGTCTCTGGTGCCCACATTCAGAAAAACATTGCCACTGACAAATACATACAGGATGCAAGTTCTGTGGTTTATACTGTGTGCGTTAGCCCTGAGCTGATGTATGTTCACAGATACTGGAGACCTCTTCAGCATTCACCCCCTGAACAGGGGGACATTTGTCTGTTCACACTTGAAAGCGCTACTTAATTTCTTTTCAGCCACTAGAGGCTCTAGTGACACAAAACAAACTCACCACTCTTTGTCCCTCCCATCCTGCTTCACTGCGACATAAACTACAGATGCCTGGTTGTGACAAACTGTAAAATGCAGCCTCCAGTTCAAAGCTAGCCTTAGATGACTAATGAGTAAGTTTGTCAGTCCAGTAGAACTGCTAATGTGACACAAAGCAGTACTGTTACACCAAACTTAATCCAAGCCCTCCACATTTTCCACCTCCTAACCCACTCTGTATACAGAGTGAGAGAAGAGCTTCACATTGCTGAGGCATGAAGGGAAGAGCTCGTGGCTAATGACAGAAAGTCTGTGTCTTGTCGTGTGTCTCTCATCTGTGCAGAGAATAGCAGCCCTGACAGGGAAGCCAATCATGTGGGAGAAGATCGAGGTTTCGAGGAGGAGGACTAGCCGCCTGCAACAGAGGCACTGCGGGCCGGACCCGCCCACCACTTCCCTGGACCACGTCGCCAGCCCTGCACAGGACAATGGTCACATACTGTCTTCTAAAGCAGGCAATCAGAAGGCTCAGACCAAGGTTCTCACCTTACCTTTAGGACCACATACCAAGCTCAAGAGTCACGACCCTGATGACCTCTCCACCTGCAGCGACCTGGAGTCCGGCGTGGCCGACCTCAGCAGCCGGTCCTCCAGCGGTGGGGACTACGGTAAGGACCCAGACATGGAATGAGGCTGTCTGTGCTACTGCCTGACTGGAAAAAAGGGAGTCCTGCCACCTGGAAGGGCAACGAGGAAACAACCACTATAACAGTAGATTCTAAAAATATGTATCCACACACCTGGAGGGGAGCAGAGGGAGACGCTGCTGAGTTATACATGGTCAGTAACTGGCAGCTCTAGTTTGCCTCCTGCCTTCTCAGCCTACTGGCGGTTCATCACTTTGTTTTTCTGACTAATTCTGTGTTTTGATTTTTTAAATTTCATTCATCCATTTCACAAGGCCAGATAGGGTGCTTTTTATGTGGACTCAGTTACTGATCTTTGTACTTTAAGAACTGCACTGTTGCTACTGTGAAATGGACATGTTTCATGAAAGTACACTGAGATCATGTAGGGTACAGGCCTGGTGAGGGGAGGATCTGATGACACACATACAAATACTAAAGAGATCAGCCTCAACTTGTATCATTCCTTTTTCCTTTTCAAGCACATTTCTTGCAACAAGATGCAAGAATCACTGGATGATTTCTTTCCATCCAGTCCTCCTTCTTCTTCAGTAAGAGATAAAATGCATTATGATACTAGTAATAACAGTGTGTCCTCTGAGCTTTTTCATTTTCAGGCCACCAAACGTTTTTACTTTAGGCAGTAACATCAAATGTCAACATACTGTGTCTGCTACAGTCTGGACCATGTTAGATGTGAGGGGCCACCGGTTCACTAACACAATAGTAATATCCATAGAAGCCCAAACAAAGTCACTTAAATATTAATTCTCTGTATTTTTAATTATGTTTTTTGTCTATGTAGCGGGAAGCAGATTGATGTTTTGGGTGCAAGGCTTTTTAGATGTGTGTGGTCATTAGCCTGACCCTGAATCAGCCCTCCATCTACACATTAGGGGTTTCATCACAGAAAGGAACAGAAGTCAAACTAAGTCGTTGCTGCTAGGGAACATGTCAAATGGAAAACACTGGGCAGCTCAGGCAAAGCCTCCTCTTGTACTCTGATTTTAAACAGTTTCTTACCTGGGACTCCTCCAGGACTCTATCACTGTGTAAAACAGAAACCAGCCACCAGGGGTCAGTATGAATTCAATCAATCAATGTAGTTCAGATTAGAAAGATGCAGTAAACAGTGCAAACCTTTAAAAACATGGATTCTGTAAAGAACTTTTTCAAAAGCTGATCTCCAGCGGTGATGGAGGTCAGATGTAACAGGAAGGGAGTATGACTGGACCGGTTGGTTTCCCAGGGACAGAACTTAACCAGAACATTGATTACAACAAAGGCTGGAATTTAGTATTTTCTTTATGTGCAATATATAATATCACAGCTATTTCTCCTGTTGTTTATGTTGCAGTGTACTGTATAACATTCACACTGGTGTCATAATATTTATCCTTAGACCTCCTGAATCCTTCAGTGAGAAAGTGTAAGTGATGAAATTCAGTGAAGCTACTCAGATAATGTTCTTCTCTAGACGATGTTTGACTGATATGTCCTTTAGGAAGAGCTCACGTGTTTTTAGGTGATGTGAACTTTTTTACACTGGCACAGATGGGTTACCACCAGGTCTGTTTCAGTCTCTACACTGTCCACAGGGATCACTCCAGCAGCACATGAAGAAGAGTGGACCTGTCAGAGCACATCCCATGTTACTGTACTTAAAGCTGACAATACAAACCCACTGTGACTCCAGATCAATGTGACTGACTCCACGGGTGTTGACGAGCAGTCACTGTGCTGCAAACACATGCTAACGGAGCAGAGTGTCTTCCCGCTGAGCAGCGAGGTTCCGCTGTGGGACTGAACAAAGAAGGTGACCAAATATTTTAGTACAGATAATGTTATGTAGTCCAGGTTTTAACCATGAATTTTAAGAACAAAAATCACATATACACCGGAGATTCATACAGCCACATCAAGGGAACAAAGGCGAGAAAGATTTCACCGTGTTTCATTGTTAGTGTGTGAAGCACTTTGGCTCTTACAGCTGCACTGAGCTGGCAAACAGATTTTCCACTAGCAACAATGACCAGCATGTGATGCTGTGTGAGATAAACTGAATCTGATGAGCTGGACGTCTCTGGACCTCTTCTCTCTCCTAACTTTGACATTTCACTGTAGCCTGTGATGTATATGTACATGTGTGTGGGTTCTGTATCCATTGATGTAAATGATGTATCAATAAAAGGAAAGAACTGCAACATACTGGGTGTGAAATGTCCTTTGACATGACAGAAACCGCTTCCGATACCAAACTTCCACAGATCTTTACCGGGACACTTCTGCTGTTTTCTCAGTCCATCACAGAGCCAAACAATGCGGAGGGCCTGATGCTGATGAAGCCTGTCTCCATGAGCAGTCAGTGGAAAGTCCAGGCCTCTGGTTGAAACTTGAAATTTGTTCCAATCATTTCTCACCATCAGGTTGGGCAAAATCCTGTGAACTGTCAAAAACACAATCCATGTTTTATGTTGGTATTTAGGCTCTGGGTGAGGCTCGTGATCGGATGACTGCTGTGAAATGTGTTGAATACTAATCACTTCATGGGGGAAACATTCCTGTGAATGTCCAGGTCCAAATTCAAAGTTCAGTTCAATCTATTTAACAATCCAGTCACTGAAACCAGGAGAAAAACTCATCATCATCCTTGAGTCTCACCAGTAATGTTGTGACAGAGCCCGGTACTGTACACCGTGTTGAGATCAACTGTGTCACCATCACATCCAACGCTACCATCCTTTTTGTCATTGTGTCATGGTGCCAGTTCTTTAATAGCCACATTTAGGGGTTCCTCCTAAAAAGTTTAACAAAACCCAGCCAGTGCATTATCAGGTTTTATATAAATTTTTATGTCCTCATATTTTATACATTTCAGCAGATTTAAAAGCGATGAGTGACAAAACACAGAACTGTTTTATTTCTATTTCTAAGCTGATACATCATTTAGTTGTCAAGTGCCATACGGTATGTTGTGAGCAGTACGTGATATAATATACAGTACAAAGTATTACTTTTCAGGCACAGTTTCAGAATTTGCCATGAGGTACCATTGGGGCCATAATATTAACAGATTTCACACGCTTTGTCAATGGATTTCTTAATGTTTTGGTCCTACTGGGACTTGATCCACTGCTGCTGTGACTCTTACATGATGTCACCAAGATATTTTGTTCTTTTAAGTCTTTCCTCTGGAATTCTTGTGTTACCTGGACTTTTCCCCTCACCTTCACGTAATACACTTAATGGTGCGTTTTGTTGTTATCCACTGACTGCTGGTGTGCAACGGTTCCAGTTTGTTCAGACACAGCACAGCAGAGTGAAACCAATATAAAATTCTTCAGCAACAACATCTGACTGACAAAATAAAGATGTGTTTGTTACGCTGCCACTGGCTTGTGGCCAGCTGGGTTTCCCTCAGTGCTTCCACTACTATCTTCTGTCACTGAAGCAGTTTGTCAGAGGCACAGTGTCGCATGTAGCAGATTCAGAATCAGACAGCACTGATATTCAGTAGAAAAAACAACAACAACAAATCCAGGTGATTTCAGATTACAAACAAGCCAGAAACAAACACATTTCCAGTTGAGTTTTCACAATCACAAACATGACTGGTCAGAATTACAAGTGGATAAAAACTGCTGATGCTTAAAACACAAACCAGAAGTTCAATAAAAAAAGAAGTTAACTGATCATTTTTAAAGACTTCAGTGTCACATTTAAAGCCGTGACATGATTCAATAACATACAGTATACCCAGAAATCTCTCTCCTCACTTCCTTCCTTGACATCAGAGATGTTATTTCATTATAACACCAGCTCCTTCTGCATGAACTGCTTTATCTTTGTAATTACACCTCAAATTCAGCTCAGGATAGATGAATAGTAAAAGTCTCTCTTCTCTGTCATGTAAAAACAATGTGAACATACAGTAGCGGCTGCTGTTTCTCTCTTATGAGAAGAAGAGCTGCTGACAGAGTTGCTGGGTTTCCTCTGGACACGAGACTTCGTGGCCGATGGTCCGTGGGTCGCAGTAGATCTCATAGTCGTTTCCTCCCTGTCACACAAACACACACAGTCACGGATCACTGAGAGAAACCCAGCTGTGCTGTCATCCCAGACACAGCAGAGTTTTGTGTATATGGGATAGTAGCTGTCATTGTTTCACAGCGCTGCCTGAGGAAACAATCAACAAAGCAGATCTAATCTAGCAATCTGCTACAATACCAGTTTTAAATCTATCACTGTGAGGACGTCCCTCAAATCACTGCCATATGTTCTTCCACCAGAGTCCTGAAGAGGGGATTGGAGAGCTCACTATGATTGGCTGAAAGATGCCCTGTGTGAATGCTTGAACACAGACATCTTTCAAATTCTATGCTTGTAAAGACAATCAGGTAAGTGTATACACAGCAATCAGCTCTGGATGAAAAGGGGAATGTTTGTGAATGGGGATCATAGTCTAGTGTCATCCCTCATCAGGTCCCGACCACACACCACCTGGTGTGATCGCTTTTACAGCACCACTATATGCAAAATGTGCTCAGACAGTTTTCAGACATCAGCTGTGCATCAGGAAGAAACCACTGTATTTTAGACAAAGAAAAAAAACAGGGAATGTGCCTTTAAACCACAATGAAGACACTGATAAGGCACAGATAACTAGAGCAGTCATTTTAAATGTGTAAACTGATGCAACCTATTATTTATTAACCTACTAACATATCGGCTGCAACTCTGACTATGACCATACCACATCAGCTCAATCTGTAAATGCTGCTTTTCGGTGTTTTCACTTTGTTTTTGCATAGACTTCCTTGAACACTGAAATCCACACACTATAAAAAAAGCAGCACACTGAAACATGCAAGGCAGTTAGGGCCACACTGCTGCGACAGTTAAACACACACATTTTACTATCTGCTTCGGTCGCATGTTCACACTAAACTCACATTTTTCAGCCCTGAAAACAGAACTTTTCAAAAACACTAAGGACTAGATCAACCTGTAAATGGAAGCTTAGCTACGAGAGACAGCCACCAGAAGAGGGAAAATGCATTTCCATGGTGCCAGCCAGAAAACCAGCCCATTCCGAGTGTGGATTCTTCATGGCTTGTCTGTCTGCTCTTTGTCCTGTGGTATTTTACCTGTTCAGGAATTTACATTTACATTTACAGTTCTAAAGCCAGCAGCCTTATTGTGCTGTTTAGCAGTAGTTAGCATACTCACAGGCTTGGTCTTGTCTCCAAAGAAGTGAATGGCTGAGTAGCTGTCCTTCTCAACAATGTCCAGACAGTACCTCTTATCCCAGCCGTCAGGAAACACGTCAAAGCTGATCTGCCCTCCTGCAGAAACACATGGACGTGACTTGGAGACTTTACATCACGCTGATATCTCACACTGCCCAAGGCTGAAATCAGATTCTGTTTCATGGTCAAAACACACTACACATGTGTCAAATTAGAAATCTATCCTGATATGAAGCACTCAGCCTGTTGTTACTGTCACAAATCAACTGAGTGTAAACACAAACACTTAAACAGTTGTCACTATTGCTGCTGACTTACCAATTGAAAATGAGAGTCCTTTTCCTTTGAACTCTTCCTTTAACACGGACACAAACTTCTCTCGGATTTTCTCTTTCTGTGAAGAGCAAAAAACAAAGCATCACAGGCTTGGAGGTGATGTGCCATTCTCTGACATTTTTTATGCAGACAGCTAAATGAAATGACGTGTATTGCTGCTTTAGTTAAACTGGGACCGCAGCTAATTTTAAAATACCGATGTGCTTTGGGGATGCCCACATTCACTTCTAAGTGGCAGTGTAGTGTTAGATATTAGTAATTGTTAGACCTTAATGTGTTAGTAATGCAATTTAGTGAGATTTCAAAGTCTGCCCTAGTCTGTTTTGTTTCAAGGTTAGCAGACAGAATGTTGATTCTGAAAAGTGAACCATGATGCTAATTCTTTTCCTGTACTAATCTTGTGTTAGAATATTATGTCTGAATAAATAAATGAATGCCTTAGCTACACACCATGCAACAACATATACACACATTGAGATTCTTCATTTTGTTATGACTAGGTAGAAATGCAGCTGCTCTAAGCATGTGGAGCTCTAGATAAGAGATGGGGTCTTTGGACTGACTTCATCTGGGTAAGGGGTTAGCCCAAAACTTATAAATGTATTAGACTTTGTGTGGCCAGGGACTCCTTTCTCCAGCAGCCGGTGTGTGTGTCTCTGGAAGGGGGAACAACCCGGGTCATGTCTGTAATTTTTACTTGTGGTTTAAAATAAATCAGCACTAAATGAAGAAAGACGGACTCCTTCATTATTCAGAACTGTCCAATTAAAGAACTGGGGTATTACAGTAGCAAGGCTACATAGAAAAATGCCATTCTACTGGAAAAGTCTGTCACAGTCTTGTTATCCTGCCAGTGATATATACACAAGTGGTAATCTCCGAGTAGAGGTCTTCATGGGTCCACTCGGGTCTGAGGACCCAATACCTGACATGGAACCCAATTCAGGTCAGGTCCAAACTTTGCTCATTCTGGTTGGGTTGCGTCAGGTCACGTTTCACAGTCTTGGGTCCGTGTGCCAGTATATTCAAGACCGCAGTGGATCCGAACAGATCCAAGCCTACACATTAATATCCAAATGATGATGTGGTGAGTCACAGTCACTCTATTTTTTAAAAATTAATTCATGCACGACAAGTTCAGGTCCGTTTTCGATGGCCTGTTTCGGGTTGGACCCATGAAGACCTCTATCTCAGAGGCTGAGGAATGAAGCTAAAGTGAAAGTGCCATTCAGTTTTCATGTTCTATTTATTCTGTGTTTATTTTGATTTTTCAGTATGTCCTGCACATATAGTGAATTGATAATTAAAAAAATTTTAAATCTTTGAAAACATGCAATTCCTCAAAAATCCACTTGAGACTTGCTCCAAACGTGAGTCAGTCCCCATAGAGTCCGATGTTAAACAGCAGGACTTTACAGCAGAAATAAACATGTTTACAGCCTGACAGAAAAAACGGTTTTGGTCTCTATAGCTAGTTTCCCCTTCCATGACAACTGTAGGGAGGGTGAATTTTTAGATCACTAGTCCCATTTAAATTTTATTGAAACTAAAATGTATGCCTAGTTAAGAGCGCGGCTGCTTTGAGGGGCAGGCAGGGGGGTCCCATCATAGGTTGCTTGGCTAGCTGTCTAATGAGCTCCACTCACGCTCCGCCTCTTCACCCATTTTTGGATTAGAGATAGCAGGCAGAGTGAAGCGCTACCAACATGGCAATGACCAGACTTGAGCTTCAAAATCGCTCTTCAGAAAACCAATGGGTGACATCACAGTGGGTTTGTCCAGTTTTTATATACAGTCGGTGGTTCTTTCACGTCAGCTTGGTGTGTCTCTGCCCTAAGGCTGTAGTGGAGGCTAAACACATGTAAACTCTGTTTACTCACCCATCAGATTCTGAAACAGCGTTCAGACAGACTTTCTACCTGTCAATGCACTAAACTAGGCTCACTCTCTGTGTTTGTACACATGCTGGGTTTGCTCAGTTTTCAAACATTGTATCCACACTACAGGACCATTGTAACCTGTTAACACAGAGCAACAGTCAGTCCACCACCCACTCATGCAACAGAGAGCTTAAAACAAACACACCCTTCATGCCGGAGCTAACAAACAGAAGGTAAACACTGCAGGAGCTGCTCTCTTGGGACAAACAGGGAGTCCAGTGCAAAGACCTGACATGATCCAATCAGTCAGGAGCCCTAAAGTGGTCTAGTGTTTTTTCTTTTACAAACTGTGTTTTACATGTTCAATTCCTGCTTTATGTTTAATTCAACTTGAAAGTAACTCCACAGATTCTAACTTGTATTCACACTACATTTTGTTGTCAATCCACAACTAATGCAGTTAACACTGTGTGAGTTTGAGTACTGCTCGATACACTGTCAAAGCAGAAGCAGCAGCAGGAGGAGGAGGACGGGGATATGAAGATGATCTTTTGTTAACAGAAAAATATTTATTAGTTCAGCTTTAAGTGATGCATGTGTCAGTGTGAACTTGTGTGCTACCTGATCTAGCTCATAGAATTCTTTCCTCTCTTCCTGTGTACAGCTGCGTCCAATAGGGGAGACGTTCAACATGCCGTTACGGAACTCAATAAATGTGCCCCTGTAAAACATTCCACATCACAATGTAGTCAGAAGGCTAAACCAGGTCATTACTATCTATTAGTATTCTATGCTTTCAAATGCTGTACATCTGTTACAGTTTCCTGGTACACCTCTGTGACCATTACATCAGTTACAGACCTAAAGAACCCCAAACAACTCATAAATAATGATAATGTGATGGTGCTTTTGATATATAGCCATACCTCTTTTTGGGGAGTTTGATCTTGGCCATGTAGTTGAGACAGAAGTTGATAAAATCTTGCAGTAGCTCTTCGCCCATGTGGGCCTGGATAGACTGACAACAGCAAGCAGACAAAGTAAACTTCCTGGAGCCTGTCACATGAGGGTAATTATGATGGGAAATTATCGTAATCTGTCAGACACTTTGACAACACAGGCCTGCAAGCATTCACATAAGAAGGTGTGGTCTGGACACATTCGGTCAGTCTTACCTGGACAGAGAGTAACTGTCCATTCTTGTAGGCCACAAGACCGTTCTCAGCAAACACATAGTCCATTTTCTGGATCACTGTATGCATAAACAAACAAAAAACAGAGAGTTCAAGTGATTACATACTTGACAGGTAATGTATCACTGGGCTGCTACAGAGGTACCACATGTGTGTCTCACCATCATCTCCCAGTTGCTCTTTAATCTTGATCAGGTCTGACCCTCCTACCACTCCAACTCGAACTCGAGTCCTCAGTTTCTGAAGGAACTCTGCCATGTCTGGAGTCACATGCTGAAAACACACAGACATACAATGTATATTTGCTGGCGTCTGTTAGGTATTTTTTTAGTCAGATAGATATTGGTTAGATACTTATTGTATTAGAAATGTTTAGTGGAGACAGGATGTCTAGTTTAAACGCTTAGTCATTGTCATGAGATTTTAGCAGGGTGTACGTGGGCAAGGATAACTAGATAGAAAAGTTTGATTGTCAGCAGGCAGGATGATTATTGTTATTATTATGATATGTTTAGCCGTAATCTTAATCATAATATCTTCCTAGGCTTAATGTCTGGACATGTCCCTGAATGTCCTGTATGTTCTTAGATACACACCACTCAATCAACATTCACACACATTGATTTTCTCCAGGTTTTGACTACTGCTACGGTCAGCTGTAAAGCTGGCATATCAGGTGACGCCACGGTTTGACGTGCCTGTGTAGTATGGGGTTAGCCCAAACCAGATATAATGTACAGGCCTGTTGAGGTTCGGGGTCTTTCATTCTTCATCTGTCTGCGCGCAGTATTGGAGGTGGAAGATACCCGGGCGTGTAATGTTAATTTTACCTGTGAACCTTTGAATAAACCAGCACGGTTTTTTGTATCCACTTGGACCGCCTCGTCTCTCTGAGTTCCTGGTTAAGAGAACTGGAAAATAGCTTTCACGTCCAAGGAAAAATGACAGCAACAAGATTTAAAGTGATGCCTTAAAGAAGAGTAATGCCCAAGTAGACCAGACAGTTCCAGAAAGAAAATCCATCACAGCTGAAACTGGTTTTCACTTTAGCAAACTGAGGTTTATTACCATACATTTTAGGACACATCTGCATGTATTACAGCTGTCTCGATTTATGTCCACTATTATGCTTTACACAAAAACTATGTCGCTTTTTTACTCAATCTCTGTACTGATACTTTGTGGTACTTTTACTGTATTTTTGCTGCAGTTACTGACAGAAAGATGCCTGTTTTGTCTGTTGAACAAGAATAGTAGCTAACTAAACCATTTTATGACACAATGTCCCTGTGTAATTCTCCAAACACCCTCACAGCAAACATTGGTCAGACTTAAAATCCTGGGAAAATATACACAATCTAGGAGTATCACAGGGCCTACAACTTTATGAATGAACAGATACTGTGTTCATGACTGACAGCAACTAGATCTTATGTAGACGTGGCACAGAACGTATCATTTAGCCCACAGCCGCTGTGTTTACGTGGAGAACTTCACAGGGATGTTGGTGGAACTGGTTTCACACCCAACGAATGGCGTGAGAGACACGAATAGCATGAACCGGGGGCACTTTGTTGTGCATGAAATGTACATGCCATAGGTTTAACGTTACAGAAGTCATGGTCAACTTGTATAACGTACATTACAAAAGACTGTCAAAAATTGCAAAGGTCATTCAGGCTTTTCGTTCCGCAACACTCCCAGTTCTTGCAAAAATCGTATCCATCGTCGACTGATCTACGTTTGATAAGTAAATTGCTAAAAGTACATGTTTATTACTATACTAATGCGCTCCCTGTAGCTGGTGAATGTCCGCCCATTCATCTGCTAAAGTCATTTAGCGGAACGGTTCTTCAAAGTCTATGTTTCTGCGGAACACTTATCGCTCGGAATAGCTACAATACTGATGTGGACAAATGTTTACCTGGCATGTATTTTTAAATATTGGAGTCAAGTGTAATATAAGTTTTAGAGAAACACACACACACACCTGTCTCGCGGCCGTAAGGGTTCCGTCAACATCGAAGAGGCAGAGCGTGCTCGTGTCCATCGCGGCTTCATTCATGTCTCTGCTCCCAGGCCAGTCTAGTAGGGATGCGGTCTCACAGTGGACACAGTCCCTATTTATTTTCCCGACGTATAGCGATCACGTTGTCACTCTGTTTTCTTCTGTTTATGTTGTTCTCTGTACAGTCTAATCCAGTCTTTGAATTGCTAAGAACTACAACTACTAGATGTCACGTATGACTTCGAGCACGTTCGCGACTTTCCGCTGAAGCTTCGGATCGAGGCGTGTCACAGAAGCACGTGATCAAAACCTTTTTCCTCTTCATAGGAACCATTTTAATGTACTTTGTCAGTACAACTTGACAACTTCCTGACAACTACAGAGGCGGATCTAGAAAATTTTGGCAGGGGTGTCCAGGCTGGGGCACAGACTAAAATGCATAAAAAGTAAACTAAACCTCTAGTTTTATGAAATAATAAACCATACATTATTTAGAATCAAATTGTTTATTTTGTGTAAAAATGGGAGACATAGTGCTTTCTCTAGCTAATGCTGACTGTGCTTCTGATTTAGTGGGAATTCAGGCTGAGTTTCAAAGGCATGAAAAAACTCATTTCTATGATTTCTATGGGGGACTGTTCACCGCAGCTGGCTCCAGCAAAGCAGGGGGGGCTCAGGCAAAACGCTGCAGCCCAGTGTGGCAAAAGAGTTGGATTTGGTTCAACTTTTGCCACAACAGACGATGACATTATCCGGAAAAGCCGCTGCGTTGAGCAGTCACATATGGGGGACCGTTGGAATATGGACACCCACGGGAAGAAGACTCTTATTTACCTTGGATATTCACTGCTATTCACTGTCGAATTTGCACCATAACAACAGGCCATGCAGTTTTATTCGTTAGGGTATTGGATGTTAATCTGTGTTTTTTAATCTGTCGCTGCCAACACACTGGCAAAAATTGGTGTTAGCAGTATGACTAACCAAAACACTACAGAAACTGATGGGCTGGAAATGTGAATGAAGCCACTCACATTGACTCGTCACAATGTGGCTGTATTGTACACACCTCGACACTTCCTTTGTAACTCCTTACCCCTTGCATAAAAACACAGCAGGGAGTTGCATTTTAATGGAGTCAGTCTGAATGCCCACTTACTCCTGGCTGGGGGCATTGCTGCTGCATGGTGGCCCACTCCACCGAGACGAATCATGGCAGGTACCCCACACCAATACAGTCAGAGAAATGAATACAAACACCATGCTGCATGTATGATATAAAATAACTATAATTTGACCGATATCAATTATAAAGCACCAGAAACATGTTAGTTGTATTTATGGCAACAATTTGTTTTTCATTTTTCATTCATTAATACTGATAAGCATCACATTTTGACTCTGGCAAGGGTGGCACCAGGGATAGCCAATTAGATTCTGCTCATGGCACTATGGCCCACTGAGCTATTTAACCTGTTTCTTTCTCTCTGTAGTTTCCACACATACACCTGCAGAGCAGTTTGGAAACAAAAATGGCATGCATATTGCATGATTTTAATTAAAAAAAAGGGACTGCAAGCAATGGGTGGACTCTTGAGACAAATATGAGGATGGTCTGAAATATCTAGAAAACAACATGAAGAAATGTATAGGGAAAAAGAATCTGAAGAGCACTGCTGGCCACGCTGCTTGCACTTTAGAGAATGTCCCTAACTTCATCTCAGCATTTTCTGTCAAAGCACTACCCTTCAGCACTAGACTGTGATATCACCTGTGCTGCAGTAAAGCCTGTAATGCACATCAAATATGATAGGGATGGATGAGCCCACTTCTGCAATTCTGTCTGACTAAAAATACCTAACAGTCTTCACATTCAAATATAGGCTACACAGTGTGTGTTCATAGTTACTGTACCATCATATTAGAGGCAATGTCAGTATTTAGTGCAGAAATGTTGTTTAAAAGTGTGTTTTTGTGTAAGTGCTACATCTAGTCTTGCTTTAACATTTTTAACTGCTACCTCATGAATGTGAAACAGTGTGAAGCAAAAGGTCTGAAAAATGTATCAATTAAAATATATTTTGCTTTGTTTACACTTTTTTTTTTTGCTAACAACACAGTTCCATGTGTTGTTATATACTTTTGATGTCTTCACTGTTAATCTACCATGTAGGATATAATAGAACTAACCAGAAACCATTAAATTAGATAACATTGGTATCTGATGTGTTTGAATTCATCTGCTGCCAGTAGTTTTGTGCCCATCAGGCTACATAAATATATTTTAAAATGTAATCTAACAGTACAGTATGATTAGTTTTATCATCCATATGGGAAATTCAAGCCTGTAACTGTGCTGAATAAAATGTTAAATTGTTATCTTATTGACTCTTCAACTCAGCTTCTTTGATTGCAAGTCCAGAACAAATATTGTTGGGCCTATTTGACAGAAGATATATTTTAATAGTAGTAGTAATAGTACACATTTTTACAATCATATTTCATAAAACTGATATAGCACTTTATGCTTATGAATTTATTGATCAGTTAAATTGTGATATATGTATATTCAGTCAAAATGCCAAAGAATAATAGGATTCATTATTAATTTACATATCTCACTCATGAGATCATACTACTACGCCATTACACGCCAAAGTCAGTTGTATTTTGAAGAGGACCGCCTTTCATTTGACCTAAGAAAGACAGTTTATATAATCGGTCCTGTGATTGTTTCTGCTGCTCTCCCTGTCATCTAAACAAACTGCAACGTATAGAACGGATACCCCCCCTCCCATCCCCTCCCCTCCCCCTCAACAT